TATATATATATGTGTATATATATATATGTGTGTGTATGTATATATATATATAAAATGGTGTTTCATTTTAATCATAGAAAAATGTGGATTTTGGGTTGCTTCTAAATTTTTGTGTTTAGCAGAGAAAACCAGGGTCCCTGGCGATCAGGAACAGTCAGCTTAAATTTGCCAAAAGCAAGTCCATGCCTGACCAATCCGATTTCCTCCTATGATAAAATGACAACCTCCGTGGATGAAGGGACAACAGTGGATGTGACGTACCTTGACTTTGGGAAGACCTTTGACAATCTTCTGCGATATCCTTGTTAAGAAGCTAAGGAATACAGACTAATTGAAAGTCCTATAAGATAGATATGTAACTAATTGGATCATCGTACTCAGTTGTCCTCAATGGCTCGATGCATAAAGTGGGGTTCCTCAGGGGTCTGTCCTGGATCTGGCATTGTTCAACAGCTTCGTTAATAATTTGGATGATGGCGTCATGTGCATATTTTAGTTTAGCAAATTTTTGGATGATGCGAGATTAGGTGGAATTGCAGACTCTCCAGAAGGCAGGGCTAGGATCCAGAATAACCTGGGTAGACTGGAAAAATGGTCCACAACCAGCAAGATGATTCAACCATGACAACTGCAAAGTCTTGCACTTGAGATGGAATAACCACATGCGCAAACACAAACTGGGGAATGAGTAGCTGGGCTGCAGAACTGCAAAGAAGTATCTTGGGGTTACAGTGGAACACAAACTGAATATGAGCCAAAATATTGCATGCAATATAAAGCCTCTTGTTGCACGCAAAATAAAGTCAACGGCATCCTGGGTTGTTTTAACAGGAGTGGTGTTACTTGCAAATCAAAGCAAGTGATTCTTCCATTCTTAGTACTGGTGTGCCCACACCTGGAGTACTGTGTCCAGTTTGGGGCCTTGAAGTTTAAGAAGGATGTGGACAGTTTGGAGAGAATGCAATGCAGGCAATAAAAATGATCAGGGTCTTGGAGACCAGACTGATGAGGAAAGGCTGAAAAAACTAGTTACTTAGCCTGGAGGAGAGAAGACTGAGTGGGAATTTGATAAGTCTTCAATTACCTGAAAGGTAATTCACAGAGCAGATGGGCTTTTCTCCATGGCTGTAAGGGACAGGACTAGCAGCAAAGGTCTCAAGCTTCAGCAGGGGACGTTTAAAGTGAAGATTAGGAGGAACTTTTCTGACTGTGAGGATGGGCAGGCATTGCAATAGGCTACCTAGAGAAAATGTGGGATGTCCATGCTTGGAAATTTTCAAAAGCAAGTCAGACAGGCTTTCCTGGGATGGCTTGGTCAGTGATGATCTTGCCTTGAGCAGGGGGCTGGAGTAGATGACTTCATGAGGTCCCTTCTAGCCCTACTTTCCTATGATCATAAAAGGTTTTTACACTCCAGAGTATTCTCATGAGAGGAATTAAAAGCCTTTTTCCTCCCCCTTCTCAGAACTTGTTGTGTGCATATTAAAAAAATTCTTAATTATACTTTTTGTTTGTTTCTTGGAGGTACACTTATGAGAGTGTGAGCCATCACATGGTCTATAAATATAACACTTGAATGAACAAATTTAGTACTCTAAAATCAAAGGGTTTTACATTGATTAGAGATGTGTGGTTCAGGCAGATGTTTTGCTGTGTTGCTTGTCCTATATACCTCTTCTGTGTTTACATTTTAAGATGACTGTTTTTGTCCTGTGCTTTCTTTGAACGAATTGGCTTAATCATACTATGAGGAATAATGTGATAAAATTGGGCACTCGTATTTCTGCAGGGAGCTAACAGAATGCGAGGCCGTCTGGGAAGTATGGATAGCTTTGAACGGTGCAATAGCATTGCTTCTGACAAGGTATGTAGCAAAATTTAAGCAAAACTGGAATGTTGTTGCTAATCTTTTTTTTTTTTTTTTTTTTTTTTTT